CAATTCGCAACGTTTAACCATGAAAGGCCTTCGTCCACAGCTATCCTTCTCTTGCGAGCTTTTTTGTTTTAGTTTTATGAATGGACCAATTCAGCTATCCTATGTTGCTGAAAATAATTGAGAAGTGGTTATGTTCAGATATACAATGTCCAATCCCTACCAATTATCTTTTATTACGAGTGAAAAGGTGGATGTCTGAACTCTGAACTGGAGGTAATCTGGATGTAACAAATGTATGAATAAGTGGGTGAAATAGACAATATGGATGACCTTTTTTAAATATATAAAAACATATATGAGAGAGAGTCTCTTTAAGATATCCCACATAACATGATTGTGTATGTTATGCTTTTATGAGAACAATACACTTCCTTATTTGAATTTTGAGTTTATGGAGACTTAGAACTCACATTTCCAAAGTTGGATGGTTTCCATTTAATCTTGCGGTAGTATTTTTTTCAAGCTCATAGAGAAAGCAATTTTAATTTTTTTGTTTTTGTTTTTTTGATTTAGTATAGCATATGTCTTAAGAAGGTTATATCCCCAAATTTTAGAGTTGTAAAAATACTCCTTGACTGGGTTTTGCACGAGGGAGTAAATAAACAATATGCCCCCTTAGGAGCATGAAATCTTGTGACATAATAATTTGAGGGGAGTTGTTTTAAGTATCAGTTGACCATGTTCTAAGTAAGGGCAAGCTTTCTATGCTTCTCCTCCAACATAAAACTTATATACTTCCCGTTATCCAACCGTTCATTCTGAATAGAAGGCCAAGATTGCTCCAATCACAATTTCATGTCTCTACACTATTTTATTTTAAATTTCTTTTCTACGAACTATTTTAACATTGAATTTTCTACGTCCAATCCTCTATTAAACTTGCACTAGCAAAAAATATAAAATGACTAAAATACTCTTGAAAGTTTCAAGGAGTATTTGGTCGTTATATTTTATCGAAAAATTATTTTTAATATTGTTTATAGGTGCGCCCCAATGAGAAGATGACACGTACCAAATTTCATATTCATACAATTTGTATAAATAAAATAAAATAAAATACTTTGAGACGTCAGATTTAAGATTGAATGGCGAGTGGCTCTCTTGATCAAAATTGGACAATTGGGATGGTAGGGGAAGCATAGATCTTCTATGCTGTAGAAGAAGTATAGAAACCTTTCCCTTTAATGAAATGGGAGCCCTTAACAAATGAGATTTATTTCAATGAACTAGGTGGAGAAACTTCCAAGCAATTTATAAATGATGATATGTGATCACTTAATGGGACATAGCTAAACAAGAGAGGCTTTTAACCTTTTCCTTGAATTAGAAAAAATATAAAAAATTCCCTCCCAGTATCATCATCATCAACCTTATAGGAATAGTGGGAAGATGCAGTACTGATAGAGACTTCTAATCTGAAAAGAAAAAATTCCAAAAGGATCAATTGACAAGGCTTTTCAAAACGTATTGGACTAGAAGTACTGCCTCGAGACCATCCACAAAAATATATTCAGTATCTTTTTAATGTTGTTAGACAACGCATATCCATAATATATATGCATGAGAATATAGAAATTTAACCAGAGGATTGAAATCCATCACACATCAGAATGCCTAGTTATTGAGATGTCCATTCATACTTTGGCCCTACAACGTGACGAACTTTGCTAAAAGCCTTATTTGGTGAGAAGTACACACATGGATTATGTTACCAGCCAGGCCTAAACTTTGGAGCCTAAAGGATTGTCTTTCCTCTTACAATCTTTGTCAAATCCAAACCAAAATATGGTATCAAGATGACCTGTATATAATCCCAAATAGAAAAATAATCTAAATAAGGGGTTTACAGTTCTTGAGTTTTTTTTTTTTTGGGTAAGTAGTGGGGGAGATGGCCCTTACCTGTTTTTCATTAAATAGTAATAAAGAAAAGTATAGCTCATAAACTTACAACCCTACAATAGGGCATTTGCGAAGCATCATGAAGTAAAATGAGGGAAATAGAATCAAGCGGTCCAGAGCACCAAATGGTGGCATCAGAAAAAACCGTGGTTTTTATAGCGAGAGTGTCGGCTACCATATTGGCCTCATGATAGATATGTATGATGAGCCGCTCACGTCCAATGTCCGTGTCTGCAGTTGGCAGCAACAATGTGAAGATGCCATGGGGCTCTGCATCTATCTCGAATGAAATTGATGAGTAGAGATGAGTCATTTTCAATTTGTAGAGGAAAGCAATCTAATTCGATGGTGAGATCCACTTTAGCTTGCAAAGCATGAAACATGGAATAATTATTGGATGTGACTCTAAGGGGCTGTGCAAATACAGAAATAGAAGATCTATCTTCTCCTTTGATGACCCACCCCCTCCTGCAGATCCTGGGTTTTGTAGAGAAGCTCCATCAACATTAAGTTTGAAATGGCCTGCGTAAGGGAAGGACCATACGTTCAGAAGAGACGATTTTTAATAAAGAAACGATTTTGTTATTTCTTGCCACCATTTGGCATGAAGATAATTTGCTGTGGCCTTTTTGGATATGTGAAAGGTCCAAGCCTTAGCATTTGCCATCTCTGTAACATGCATAGTAATCCTCTTGATAAGTTGTTCTCTATTGGAAACCTTCCCCTTGAAAGACTCGATCATTGCGCTCCTCCCAAAACATCCAAATTGTGGTGAAGAAAAAGGAATGGTAGACGTTAAGGAGTCCCACTGATTTAAACTTGTAGGAAATCCAAGTCCTCGATATAGATGCAACGGGTTGGATTGAGCGATGAAAACATTTGTGACACCTCCATGCAAGGGATCTCTAAATACCTTGCAAGAAAAAACAATAAAATAATAATCGGCAAATATCATCATTGTTTGACTGATAGAAGGGGCATAATTGTGTGGTGGTAATTCCTCTCCGTTGTAATAAAGAGGAAGCGAGAAAGCGCAGACGGAGAGGTAACCAATTAAACCATTTTGCTCTAGTGTGGCAATGTGAAGCCCATATAACCCTAAAAGTTAACTGTGGAGTGCCCCGTCATCGAATATGATTCTATGCATCTTTAACTAAGAAGAGGCCATTGGCGGAATTGATCCAAACCAAAAAGTCCCTCTGGAGGCATCGAGGGATTGTGAAGGTCGCAATCTCACTCCTAACTCGAGTGAGAGGGTCAGATGTAGGAGTCGGAAGGGTTCATTTTCTAGAAGAAACTTGCAAATAGTCTGCCACTTTTGGCTTAGCAAGAACACCCAGATCTTTATGTATATGATCTCCATAAGATCCCCAGATAGATTATTAGGAAAGCCACGGGTCTACCCAGAAATCCATGAAACAACCGTCCCTGATGATCCATCTAACATTAAGTTGAATATAAGACAAACTCAATTGGATGCCCTTCCATGCAAGAGAGATAATACTCTCCCATTGAGTCATCCTTTTGGGTAATGGTAAAGGGGATCTCCAAGAGAAAGGGAGCGATGGTTTCAAGGTCTTCTTCATGAAATGCAGAATAGCAAGGGAAAAGAGAGCGATTGATTTGGTATTGTTTGGTCAGGAGGGGGGGTTAGGAAGAGGATATCAGTGTGTTTTAACAATGATTAGCGAAGTACATCCCTTATAACCCTAGATTGTAATCTTCTTTAAGATAGAAGATCTCAACTTGTCGAGGTCATGGATGTAGCTCAGTTGAGGTGAATCATGTAAATGTTGTGTTTAACTTACTGTGCTTTTGTTTTATTTTATTTCTTGTGCTCATTTTATTGTTGCATTCACCTATTCCATACACAACCTTCATTCTAGGTGTTCCCTCCTTTATCTCTTTCTATATATCTTACCCTTGTAGTAAGGGATTCAAACTTCAGATTCAGTGTTGGGAGTTCCATCTTGCTCAAATCTTGCCATTCCAAAAAGGGATTATGCAGTGGGAAAGGTGTTCAAGTGATCAGAGGGAGTGTGAGAGAGGGAGAGAAAGAGAGCTCTTTAGACAACCACCTAAAATCATTCATCGATATGCTGCTTTTTCCTCCATACACTCCAAAGCGGCATACATCGAACACAAGGCATGATTATGAAGACTTGAGCCAAACCATCGATCGAAGTGCCCAATCTTTTTCGAAGCTTTACTTTTCTTAACTAAAGAATTTAAAAAATAGAACCACACCCGCAAATTGCCATCACATACACATAATTTCTAGTTTTAAACAAAAAAGTTTTAAACACATGCATTTCATACATCATTTTTCTTCACTTATGCATTAGAAAGCACCACAAATCAATGGAAAATATCAACAAAATGGTCATACAACATAAAAAAAATATGTTTAAATCAACTAAATTGCTAATAAAGTGGTTACATTTAAATATCATATCACTTGGGTCCCTCAGCCATTTCATTGAAAGTGTCCAAATTAAACCCTGCTTAAGTTTTTCAAGCCAAATGATTTAAATATCCTACTTGTTCAAGATTTCAAATCCGAAACAAGTTTTTATTAAAATAGCATTTTTGATATGGAACCTGGAACAAACATATATATGTATCCCTTTTGCCACGAAAAACCTAAGTGAGGATGAATTATCAAATTGCCCCTACTTTTTCTGGTTCCAAACCCATAAGAAGACTTTTTAACAAAAATATGTTGCAAGTTTTCAACAAGAACAAGCAAGAGTATTCAGGTCATTCAGTTATTAAAATAACATTAGCTGGTCAGATTACATAAATCCATGATCGTTAAGAGTTACAAACTCATAATAATTGTCATTTGGGCATTTTAATAAAATACTTAAGAAGGTACAGACAAGAAAGGATTTTTAAAAAGTAACCTCTGTAATGTTAATTTTTTTTTTAATTAACCACCTCATTGACTTATTGTTCCAAGGACTTCGACCATTTTAATATATTTCTTATCAGAACTAAACAATCCTCATATACTATTATGCCCAACGGGAGCATATTGTGCATTTGTTCCCTCAGGTGAAACAACTATTCAAAAGAATTTTTCCCATGAAATTTTGGGATCCACAATAGAATCACTAAATTAGTCTCTCTAGATAAAGAAAAAATTTAAATTTTGAGTTCCTAACTATTCAAAAATTGAAAAGTCTCTATCCAATACTCAATAATCAGATGTTATGTTTTTTTAACACCAGCCTACAAAGTAGGCATGGAAATAATTTGAAATTGGTCCTCGGAAGGAATTATTTGGTCCCATGCTTTTGCAAATAAACCATCCATTCCCCCCCAAATTTAAAATCCAAAAATGGTACCGTTACTTCCAAGGATTCCTACCCTCCTCTTCACATGAGAAAGAGATCAACTTTCAGAGTGTTTACAGCTTCGGAGAAGACCAAACCCACCTCAAATCCTCCAAAACCTGACTACCCACTGAACCAAACAAGCCTCTCAGCTCGACCCACACTAGCCCACTTGACCCACCTTCTCCAAAAGTGCTCAAATTGTCGAGCCCTCCAACAAGGAAAGCAAATTCACCAATTAACCATAGTCCATGGCTTTTGTGACTCATATTTGTGCACCAAGTTGGTGCATGTGTATGTTCGCTGCTCTGAAATTGTGCCGGCTCTCCAATTGTTCGATCAAATGCCCCAAAGGAATGTCTTTGCATGGACTTCGATCATTGAGTTTTATTCACAGAATTTCATGTACCGAGAATGCTTGCAATTATATTATCAGATGATTGAAGAGGGAGTTGAGCCTGATGGTTATGTCTTCCCCAAGGTTTTGAGGGCTTGTGCGCATTTAAGGGACCTAAATGAGGGGGTTCGTCTGCATAATCGTGTGAAAGAATGCGATTTGAGAGATAATTTGCAGGTAGCAAATGCATTAATAGAGATGTATGCAAAGTGTGGGGAACTGAGTGTGGCGAGGCAAGTGTTTGATGAGATGGGTGAGAGAGATTTGATTTCTTGGAATTCTATGCTTGCAGGGTATGTGAATAATGGGCAGCTTGATTTGGGTTTGGAAGTGTTTAATGATATGAGGTCTAAGGGACTGGATGGGGATTTAGTCACATGGAATACCATGATTGCTGGTTATTCGAAGGTTGCACTTTGTGAAGAGGCCTTGAAAATGTTCAATTGCTTGAGAACTTCTTTAGAGTTGAAGCCTAATCATATTTCTTGGACTAGCTTGATATTGGGCTTCTCGAGAGGTGGCAGATATAGGGAGGGATTGATGCATTTTAGAGAGATGATGGGGGCCAGTGTGGTACCAGATGCTGATATTCTTTCTTGTGTTCTTTCTTGTTGCAGGCATATAGGAGCTTTGGGAAGTGGGCAGGAAATCCATGCTTATGGTTTAAAAAGAATCGATGCATTCAAATTCTATGATTCTGCTGGAGGTGCTCTAATGACCATATATGGTATGTATGGTATGGTCGAAGATGCATGGCATGTGTTTGAATTCATGGACAAAGGGGATGTAGTCTCGTGGAATGCCATGATCATGGGCCTTGTGCATTGTGGACAAGCCGGCTCAGCACTGAGGCTCTTTGCTGATATGCAATTGCAAAGGGTTCAACATGATCATGTCACAATAGCCACAGTCTTACCAGCTTGTTCGAGCCTCTCTGCATTAAAACTTGGAAAACAGATCCATACCCATGTCCTTAAAAGCCCCAATGTCGATTCAGCCACTATAGTTTGGAATGCTTTGATTGATATGTATGCTAGAAATGGACAAGTGAGGGATTCTTATACAGTATTTGAGAACATGTCTGAGAGAGATATTGTGTCATGGAATGCCATGATTGGAGCATACGGGATGCATGGCCATGGCCAATGTGCACTCGATCTCTTTAATCAGATGAAGGGGTCAGGACTCAAGCCAAACCACACTACGTTCACTTCAATTTTAGCAGCTTGTAGCCATTCAGGGCTCATGGACGATGGTTGGCGATATTTCCATAGCATGGTCCATCACCATGGGCTTATACCCATGATGGAGCAATACTCATGCATGGTCGACATGCTAGGGCGAGCTGGTCGGCTTGAAGAAGCCATGAGTTTCATAGACGCCATGCCATTTGAGCCCGATGCTAGCATATGGGGGGCCATGCTTGCAGCATGTAGGGTTCATCAAAATGTGCACTTTGGACGTATAGCGGCAGAGAGGCTCTTTGTGTTAGAGCCGGAGAATCCCGGAAACTACATAACACTATCAAACATATATGTGAGAGTTGGAAGATGGGATGATGCAGCTAGTGTGAGGAGAAGGATGGAGAGTCGAGCGTTAATGAAACCCTCGGGTTGTAGTTGGATTGAAGCTGAGGGTCATTGAGACATGGCCAATTTTTCTAGGTTGTTTATTCCTAACTTATTTTTTTATTTTTGAAATTAAATTGTTGATTTTGTTTTTTGTTAATTAGTGATTTTAAAACCAGAATCAGGTTGCAAGGGCTCCAATTCCAATTCACCTGATCTGGAGTACAAAAGAATTTTTTTTTTTTAAATTCAAAACTAGGGGAATAAGGGGATTTTGTGGTTCCTCAAACCGAAATCACCCACTTAGTGCTCATGATCCGAATTAGGTGATTCTGAGTCGGATCAGAAATATTGTAATCATTGTTGGTCATTATGCTTGATTTGAAGTGGTGTTTCAAATCCCCCAGAATTGGGTTTTGGATGACCCAACCACTGGATGGACAATCTGGATCAGCCTAACTGGTAGAACATCAGTTAAAAAACAATAAAGATAAAGTCAGAGAATTGGGTTAGGGACCTGGATGAGACACCCATCAAATTTGACCCGGATCTACGATTCCCAATCCAACTCACTGGGTCTTAAAACCGTGATTTAAATCCTCTACTTTTTCTTTTCCCACTAAAGGACAGATAACCATATCGTGATAATTGTGCAATGTAGGTAGTGCTCCACCGATAATAAGAATGGCCATTGGTTACCTATCATTTGGTAAATGTTGGGGCCCCCATCGTGATTTATTTCCCAACCCCTCCAAACAATCCTTAGCTCATTCCAATTCAGTAACGATTTTGTTTGTCTTCTCGTCCTACTGTAATATATATCTCTCTTTCGAACTCTAACGTTGTGTTAATTCATTAATAAGCAAAATATACATATCTACTATGAAGCAGCCAGGTTATGACATTTACAAGAAAAGTAGAGAAGAAAGCACCATGCCTAGCCACTATATTGGCCTTGTGATTTGCTTTTGGATAAACATAAATGAGTCTCTCTGAGCCCCCTCGCATTTTATTCTTAGGACTTGCCAAACACAATCAAATCCTAGATTGTATAGTATTGCGATTTTGGTTGATCATTATCTACAGCTGATCTAAAATTAGGCTTGCAATGGGACCGGCGGCCTGTGCTGGCCAGCTCGGCCCGGCCCTAAAAAAGTAGGGCGTGGGCTACAAAATACAGCTCAACGGCAAAGCTAGGGGACCTGAAAAGCTTATGTGCTATGTCACCAAAAGTAAGAAGGTATACTTGTTGGATTGGTGATATCCAAAATCATCTACATAAGAAAATAATATATTATATGGGATTGAGATTGATATTGATAAGTTTCTTAAACAAAATAGAAATCTAAAAAGAATAGGACTTTTGAGTGTGTCTCTTGGTTTTTGAGATATATGTAACATGTATAAGAAGTTAACTATTTAGTGTGGATTATATATATATATATATATATATATATATATACACATACACCG